TCGAGAGAAGGCGAACAGAGGACACGTCAGAGTGATCAGAGGAGAAAATCAAGAAACCTTGCAGATGCTTGAACTAAATATTTGAGCAGGGGCGACAGGTCCATGCGTATGCGGGGTACCAGCCAACACTTTTTTATCGGAAGACACGAGCTGCCACCCGCTACGTAGTGCTAGCTCAGGCAATAGTTATTGCGGTTATCATCGCGAGCCGGTTTTTGAGATCCGGGTGTTCGTCTTTGCTAGACTATACCACGTGCTGCATGACCTGGTGGTTTGCGACACGTAACGATCGTGTACCGCGTGTTCGGAGGCCCTTGTACTCTTGCGCCTAAATCATAATCGCCTCCTGCTTGCACCCGTTATGCTTTCAAGTACTTCAGTCTTTATTCGCCTTGCTACTACTACTCCTACTACTCCTACTACTACTAGTGCTACTGCTACTACTACTACTACTACTACTACTACTACTACGACTATTACTACTACTACTACGACTACTACTACGACTACTACTACTACGATTACGACTGCTACTACGACTGCTGGTGCTACTACTACTACGACTACTATTACTTTTACTACTACTTCTTCTACTACTATCACTACTACTGCTACTAGTACTCCTACTATTACTACGTCTACTACGTCTACTACGTCTACTACGTCTACTACTACTACTACTACTACTACTACTACTACTACTACTACTACTACTACTACTACTACTACTACTACTACTACTACTACTACTACTACTACTACTACTACTACTACTACTACTACTACTACTACTACTACTACTACTACTACTACTACTACTACTACTACTACTACTACTACTACTACTACTACTACTACTACTACTACTACTACTACTACTACTACTACTACTACTACTACTACTACTACTACTACTACTACTACTACTACTACTACTACTACTACTACGACTACTACTACTACTACTACTACTACTACTACTACTACTACTACTACTACTACTACTACTACCCACTACTACTACTACTACTACTACTACTACTACTACTACTACTACTACTACTACTACTACTACTACTACTACTACTACTACTACTCGGTCCCGTGCACCACATCACCACGGCTCAACCGCCTTGGGATGAGCGTCCTTGTGGCTGCCTCATTTCCAGTATGTAGCGAGCACCTCTTCTGGGTGAAATGGCGGGTCTGACGTGCATGCAGCGGCAGGCGCTTATCCGAGGGCAGCTGGTCCCTACGGCCCAAAGTAAAGCGACAGCGGCGGCACAGCAGCACACGGGGCGACCCCAGTACCGCCATCGAGGCCAACTAGCGCAAGTAGGCGCGAGAAGAGGCCAGGATGGCAAGCCAAAATGGCTACGCGCACAGCGGCGTCACGGCAGCACACGGGGCGACCCCAGTACCGCCAACGAGGCCAACGAGCGCAAGTAGGCGCGAGAGGGAGGCCAGGATGGCAAGCCAAAATGGCAAGCCAGAGTGGCTAGGCGCACAGTTGACCGTGCGAAGAGCGGAGGCCTAAGACCAGGGCCCGCGGCGCGAGGGGGGGCACCACTGTGGGCGCACCCGCGCCAGCTGGCAAGGCGGCGTTGCTAAAGCTGGAGCGTAAGCGAGCATACAGGCTCAGCATCCTTGAGAGTGGCAGGCTCGGGATCTTAACGTGGACTCACGTAGCCTCCCCGAGGGCTTAGAAGTATACGATGCTGGGGGCCTGCAGAGTCTCAGCGTTCAGGCGGACTGGCCTGTTCCTTGCGCAATGGCTGCGAAGACCTGCGACGGCAGCGCTTGCACTTCTCCCCCGAGGTCGCCACTGCCGCCCGCCTGCCCTGAGGGCCCAAAGATCTGGCGCTCGAGATCCTCACCGAGGGCCACGTTCAGGGCAGCGACATTAGGGATCTGCTGCGGGAGCGGGTCCGTCGGCGGCGGCGGCACCGCAGGGGGCGCCGTCAGCGGCGGCGGCGGCGGGGCCATGATGGCCGCTGGCGGGGCTCCAGCAGGCGGTGGTGGCGGGTCCTGGCTGCCGCGGGCCGAGCCAGCTGGGGGGGCACTGGCGGTGCGGACGGGAGTGGCACGCGGGGCGACCCCGGTACCACCTCCGCCGCCCGTGAGGCTGCCCTCCAGGAGGTTGTGGCGGCGCTCATAGGCCGCGAGTTCCTCGTGCGCGGTCGCCAGGCGCTGCCTCCTGGCCTTATTCCGCTGCTTCTTGGTGTAGCCCGCCCACTCTGGATCGTTCAGCCCCCATGCAACCTGCGAGTACAGGTCGGACCACTTGAACTCGGGCAGGCTGTCCCAGGAGAGCCCCTCCATTAGCACGTAGTGGCCCTCCCACTGCGGCTGCTGCGGAGCGTAGCGCTTAAAGACGGTGCCCACCGCCAGCGGCTCGACCTTGGGCAGGTGCGTCAGGAGGTCCACAGCGCTGAGCACCGCTACCCCCTCCTTCTTGAGCTTGTCGTAGCGCAGCAGGGCCTTCAAGTCGCAGACGTCCTCCTCGGGGAAGTCCGCGTGCATGTAGTACGCGCGAGGCGGGCTCTGCTCTTCCTCTATCATCTCGATGCAGACGCCGTAGGAGGTCGCGTAGCGCGCACCACAATGGCAGTGCCAGCGCTGGCCCGTCTCCCCCGCCGCCTCCTGCGCGCAGGTGAGCAGCTGCGTCCAGCGATCCGAACGGATCACCGAGCAGCATCCCTTGGGATTGTCCCAGGTCTTGTTGGCCGAGCACTTGTAGTACATGTTGAACGTAAAGCCCTTACCACGGTAGAGCTGGTCCTTGTAGTCGCCCATCCGTCGGTAGGCCTCCTGCGCCCTGGCGTTGCCCTGGCACTCCTCCTTCCGCGCACGCTTGTGTCCCAGGTGCGCGTCCACGACCCCCGAGGCTTCCAGGAGGCCCTTCTTCAGCCTTCCCACATCATCCTCTGCCTCCGCATTCAGCGCGTCGAGCCACTTCTGGACCCCGTCCTGCGCCTCTGCGCCCTTCACCATGTCCTCTTTCTTCTCCAGGATGGGCCCCAGGCCTCCCAGCATGTGGGTGCGCATGGTCTCGAATTTGAGGACACCATAGGCCCGCGCCATACGCTTCTGCGATTTCTTGGAGAGGCCGAGCCGCAGCAGGGGCTCGATATCCGCGACCTCCTCCACAGTCTTGGCGTTGGCCAGCTGGTGCTCCTGGCCCTCAACGTTGTTGTCGAGCGGGGGGTCGCTATCATCCCCACGGGGAGGGTCTGCGGCGCCAGGTCCATCCTCGAGGGGTCGAGGTGGCGCGCGGGGCGGCCCCGGCACCACCTCCACCGCCATCGGGCGACCGACCTCCTCCGCCACCGTTTCCGTGGCTGGGGGGGCGCTACTACTACTACTACTACTACTACTACTACTACTACTACTACTACTACTACTACTACTACTACTACTACTACTACTACTACTACTACTACTACTACTACTACTACTACTACTACTACCACTACTACTACTACTACTACTACTACTACTACTACTACTACTACTACTACTACGACTACTACTACTACTACTACTACTACTACTACTACTACTACTACTACTACTACTACTACTACTACTACTACTACTACTACTAACTACTACTACTACTACTACTACTACTACTACTCCTACTACTACTACTACTACTACTACTACTACTACTACTACTACTACTGACTGCTACTACTGCTACTACTGCTACTACGACTACTACTACTACTACTCTACTACTACCACTACCACCACTAACACTACCATACTACTACTACTACGCTATGCTGCTGCTGCTGCTACTGCTCTGCTACTGCTACTGCTACTGCTACTGCTACTACTACTACTACTACTACTACTACTACTACTACTCTAGAACTACTACTACTACTACTACTACTACTAACTAATACTACTACTACTACTGCTACTGCTACTGCTACTACTAAGACTACTAACTAAGTACTACTACTAAACTACTACTATTACTACTATTACTACTACTACTACTACTACTACTACTAGTACTACTACTACTACTACTATTAATTCTACTACTAGTACTCGTAGTAGTAGTGGTAGTAGTAGTAGTAGTAGTAGTAGTATACTACTACTACTGCTACTACTACTATACTACTACTTTTTATACTACTGCTGCTGCTACTACTACTACTACTACACTACTACTACTACTACTACTACACTACTACTACTACGACTACTACTACTACTACTACTGCTACTACTACTACTACTTACTACTACTACTACTACTACTACTACTACTACTACTACTACTACTACTACTACTACTACTACTACTACTATAACGACTACTACTACTACTACTACTACTACTACTACTACTACTACTACTACTACTACTACTACTACTACTACTACTACTACTACTACTACTACTTCTACTCCTACTACTACTACTACGTCTACTAGTATGTGTGCCTCGCCCCCCCCAGGGACGACACGCGCGCACAGAAATTGTACAGTAGAAGCTCTGTGGCGGCTTTTGGGTGGACGCGCGCCTCCATGGAGGACACATCGTACTAAATTTGTAATTTGTGCGTCCCGTCTTTTGGGCCCTCTATCTTACGATGCTCTTCGTTTGCGGTGTCTCCATGGGGCCGTGGCCCCTCGCCGAGGAGGCTCGCGCTCTGGACCCGCGCTCTTGTGATGATGTTTGGACTGCTAGTCGGAAAGACAGGCAACGGCATCTAGCGGGACAACCCCAAGGTTTTTTTTGGCCCCCAAGCCCCAAGGCGATGGTTCTGGCGCGGTCCCTGGCGCGCTCCGCGCGCCAGGCACGGGTGCCCAGCGCGTTTTCAGGAGATCCGGGTGGAACCCCGAAAATTTAAGCCGATCTTTGTTCTTCAGTGTAAGCGCACGCTGGGGGCGCACGCGTCCTGAGGGTAATCCGACAGCCGCGCGCGCCGCGCGCGCCGCGCGCACATTGCTCGCGCCCGAGAGCGCCGCCGCAGGCGACGACGACGACGGCCGCGCGCGTCCCGGACGCGGACAAACTGATCGAGTCCTGGGACCGCCTGCGCCAGGACGGCGCCGCGCGCGCCGCCTCGGAGTCGCCTCGCGCGCGCCGGTCGATTATCGTCGACGAGTGCATCGATGGGGTCGTCGACTGCCGCCGATGGCCGTCGTCGTCGTCGCAGTCGATGGTGATCGTCGTCGTCGTCGTTGTCGTCAATTGCTGTTGTCGACGTCACCGTCGATGGCCGTCGTCTTTGTCATCGTCGTCGTCGTCGTCGTCGTCTTCGATGGCCTTCGTTGTCGTCGTCGTCGTCGACAGTTGTCGTCGTCGTCGTTGTCGTCGTCGTTCTTCTCCTCCTCCTCCCCCTCCTCCCTGCCTCCCTTCCTTGTCCTCCTCCTTTCTCCTCTTTTGGCTGCTGCGGGGAGGAAGCCTCTTCGTCACCCCTCCTGTGGCGAGGAGTGTAGAGATGACAGGGGGAGGTGCGCTGCATTTTTCGGTGCTCCTAGCGGACTTCTGGTGATTTTTTTTGAAGGCTCCTCGGAGGTGTTCAGAGTTGTCTGGATGATGATGATAATGATGGTGGTGGCGGTGGTGGTGATGATGATGATGCTGATGATGTTGATGTTGATGATGATGATGATGATGAGGATGATGGTGATGATGACGATGACGATGACGATGACGACGATGATGACGATGATGATGATGATGATGATGATCTGATGATGATGAGGATGATGATGATGATGATGATGATGATGCTGATGATGATGATAATGACGACGATGTATGATGGATGATATTGGCGACGGTTACGGGGACCATGACGATGACGGTGGTGATTGTCATTGTAATCGTTGTTGGATGATTGATGATGGATGATGTATGATGTATGGTGTGTGATGGGGATAGTGATGGTGATGATGATGGTGATGGTGATGGTAATGATAATGATGATGATGCTGATGATGATGATGATGACGATAATGATGAGGCTGCTGCTGCTATGTTGCTGTTGATGATGACGATGGTGCTAAGGATTATGCGATGAGGATTACTATGATGATGATGCTGATGCTGCTGCTGATGATGATAATGATGATGAGGCTGAGGATGAAGATGAGGATGATGATGAGGATGAGGATGAGGACGATGATGATGATGATGATGATGATGATGATGACGAGGATGATGACGATGATGATGATGATGATGATGATGAGGATGAGGATGAGGATGAGGCTGAGGATGAGGATGAGGATGCTGCTGCTGCTGCTATTGATGATGATGATGATGATGATGATGATGATGATGAAGATGATGATGATGGTGATGGTGATGGTCATGGTGATGATCATGATGATGATGATGAGGATGAGGATGATGATGATGAACATGATGATGATGATGATGATGATGATGATGATGATGATGATGATGATGATGATGATGATGATGGTGATGATGATGATGATGATGATGAATGATGATGAATAATAAGAAGAAGAATAATAATAAAAAGAAGAAGAATAATAATAATAAGAAAGATAAGAAGAATAATAATAAGAATAAGAAGAAGAATAATAATAATAAGAATAATAATAATAATAATAAATAATAATAATAATAATAATAATAATAATAATAATAATAATAATAATAATAATAATAATAATAATCATAATCATAATCATAATCATAATAATAAGAATAAGAATAATAATAATACTAATAATAATAATAATAATAATAATAATAAGAAGAAGAAGAAGAAGAAGAAGAAGAAGAAGAAGAAGAAGAAGAAGGCCTCGTGGCGTGCGGGCTACGCCGTGGACCAGGAGCGCCACGTGCCAGAGCTCCATCAATTGTTGGTGCCTGAGGGGGCTGAAGCGGGGGGGGGGCGGCGGCAGGCCCCGACGTGCAAGGAGGCGATCATGGATATTGCCAGGGGATCAGGCCCCGGGGAGGAGCCAACTCCGCCGCTGCCGACGAGGGAATCTGTCTAGCTCAGCGGCGGAGTTGGCGGACGGTCACTGCTAGCCAAGAGCGGAGTGGGCGGACGGACGAAGTGTTCCCTGGCGGACACTCCCCAGGGAACAGCACCAGAGGAGGCTGGCCGTCACAGTCCGCTCGCCGCTGGCCGTCCGCATGCCGCGCGCGGACGAGCAGCCTGCCGCCCTGGTGGGCATCGCGGCGCGTGGGCGTCGAGGCCAAGGCGCGGCGCTGCGGCCCATCTGTTGCGGCCCTGTCATGGAAGATTTTCGGCTGGCTACATGCGGACAGCGCGGAGGTGCTGGAGGAGTTGGCGCACCGGGCAGGCGGCGACATAGTACCGCAGCGCTTGGCACGCGCCTGGAGGGCTGCGGCTGAGAGAGCCATGCTGGTCGCGGAGGCGGATGGCGTCCTCGTGTCGCTGGGTTCGGAGCCCGCCAAGCGCGCAGCTGCGACGCGGTTGCCAGCGCTTGCCGCCGGGGACGCCGACGATGTGGAGGAGGGCGACGCGGCCGCGGAGCGTTGGAGGGACGATCTCGTGGAGGAGCTCATCGCCGCCGCGGAGGCGGAGGAGGATGTGCGGGAGTCAGCAGGAGCAGAGCGTGGCAGCATCTGAGAGGCGGTGCGTGCAAATCATTGCTCAGTTGCTCGGATCTTTGTTCAGAGTGAGTCATGATGACGACGACGTCGATGATGATGGTGATGATGTTGATTCTGATAATGATGATGATGCTGATGAGGATGAGGATGATGATGCCAATGATGCTGGTACTGATGCTGATGATGCTGATGCTGATGCTGATGCTAATGCTGCTACTGATGATGATGATGATGATGATGATGATGATGATGATGATGATGACGATGACGATGACGATGATGATGATGCTGATGATGCTGATGATGCTGAGGATCATGATGATGATGATGCTGATGCTGCTGCTGATGATGATGATGATGACGACGACGACGATGATGATGATGATGATGATGATGATGATGATGATGATGATGATGATGATGAGGATGATGAGGATGATGATGACGATGATGATGATGTTGAACTCTCTTTACTGAATAACTATTGTTGATCCCCCTCTGGTACACATTGCATTTTTCCATTGAAGTGTCCTTCCCGGCGCTCGCGCCCTGTTTTTTTATAAGGAAAAGTCTGAGGCTCAAACTGTGCCCCTGGCCCCTGGGTTAAAACAACAACGGCTCCCGTCTGAGACTTCCTCACATTTTAGCCAGGACCCCCGCTCCCGCCTGAGACTTCCTCGCAGTTTATGCAGGAATCGCGCTCTCGCCTGTGACTTCTTTTTCTGTTTATTCAGGAATCGCTCTCTCGGCGCTCTGGAGTCGTGCTTTCGCTGGAGACTTGCTCGCAAGTTATTCAAGAATAGCGCACTTGCGTTGGAATTTCCCGCAATTTACTCGAGCGCCGCCTCGAGGAGTACGGCAACCGCATCGTGCATCTTGAGAAGCAGCTGCATTTCCTCGCGAGCGAAAAGCAACCCGTGGAGATCATGTCCTCCATTTTCGACAGAGACGTTAACCCGACCATCATCGTGGCTCGCGCACAGACGCTGGTGGAAAATAACAAAATTCTGCCGACCCTCTCATCGTGGCTCAGCCGAGCCAACCTCTCCGAATACGATTATGCTATTGAAGGTGATGCAGCTGGGAAGCGTTGTTATATCCGTATCCGGGGCTGTCCCAACGTTGCCGCCAGGAGGATCGCTACCGCTCTTGGTGCTCTCAAGATTGGCGAGAAGCAGTGGGGGCGGTTCTCAGTGGAGGGCACCCAGGCGATGCGTCAGGAACTGCGCATCTCTGAGGACCAGAGCCCCGCCCAGGTTCGGAAGGAACTCTCCCTCAAGCGGACTCAGCGTGCCATCGAGGAGGCGATGCCAAGGCGTCGCATTTTCATGAACCGAGAGCGTGGCGAGCTCTCGTGCCAATGGACGCCGTTCTGCAAGTTCACTGCACGCCGAGCCCAGCCAGCCAGAGTGGAGTGGGACAGGGCTGCGCTCAGGAATATCGGCATCGAGTTTCAGCAAATCGAATATCTCGTCTTGGCTGCCGCCGCCGGCCCCGAGACACCGCCTCAGTGGAGTCTTTAGTGCGCTCTGGCGGCACTGGGTTGACCACGCAGGTAGCCATATGCCGCTCATCCCAGGCAGCTGGATTGCTCGCACCCTCTTCCACTTCAAATACTCTACTCGTTCAAGCAGATTATCGTATCTCTCTCGTCTCCTCCACCCTGGCTCTATCATTGGCGTGCAAGAGGCGCGCGACTCTGATCATGAACTGCGTGACATTCTTTAACACCAGCATCGGCAACTTCAAGCGATCTCGTCCTTCCTGCGCTCCCGCACCCCGCCGGCGACGTCATCACCTTCTTCCCAGTCTTCCGCTTCCTCGAGCACCCTCCGCAGGTCACCTCTGAGGCCCTCGTCATAGGTCGGGTCCTGAGGCTCTCCATGCAGTTCCTTGAAGGCTTCCAATTAGTCCACTACAACATTCACAACTTTGGGATCTCCCCCGAGGCTCGCGGTTGTCTTGCTCAGAGCATGCTCGAAGACATCAGGCTGTGCAATTTTGATCCCGTGGGCTTCGTCGTCTTCGTTCAGGGCGATTTCAACTTCGCTGGCTCCCCTTCCGTTCCCGAACAAGTGTAATCCGAGGGAATTTCCAACCGAGAATTTCGAGAACGGGTCCAGCCTATCCAGCAGTGGCGTCGGGCTGCAGGGGCCGTCTGGGCATCCGCAGCGAGCGAGCTCGTCGAGCTCGAAGCATCCGAGCCGAGGCACTTTTTGCAGGGCCGAGAAGTCGCTGTCAACCATCGACAGGATCTTCAGCTCGCTCCCTGGCTGGCCCCGCGCGCGCCTGTCTTGCGGCTCGCGCGTGGTGGGTTGCCCCGAGGTCAATCCCAGTCTGAAGCTCTCGGACCGCTCAGCGGTCGTGGTCGCCATAAACTGGGGGTCCCGAAGACGCCTCGCGAGCGCCCCGTCCAGCCCGAGGTCTACCAGGGAGCTGATTAGGGTGATTTCATCAAGTTCGTTTTTTTTGTTTTTGAAAAGGTGGACGTCAGCCACCTGGGCGCGCCGCTGCAGCTAATTCTCCGCGAGCTCGCGATGAGAGATGCCGCTCGCACCGCCCGTGGCGTCGCGATCCTCAAAACACTTTCCTCGACGATGGCGAAATTGATGGTTGCCAAATCGATCGGTCCTGCTATTTGGTCACAGGATATCGCGCTCGTCCCCCGACTCCTTCGCGCTCGTGAACTCGGCCGCCGGTTCCTCGACGTCGACCCTATTGCACAGGGGGCCAACCCTGTGGAGCCAGACAAGTTTACGACGTTGACCAATGAGCTCAACTCGTCTGCGAATTCGTCCGCTTGCGCGCAAATCCGAGCTGAATTACTGCTGCTTGCCGTCCATCCACGGCGCGCCGAGCTGCGGAGACGTCTCCGCGGAGTCGAGCGTCGGGAAAGCTGTGGATCAGGATCGACCGCAAACTATGCTTCCAGGGATAAGGTCCAGGGCAAAATCACCAGTGCCCCCGAGGGCATGCTCGAAGGACTTGGACGCGCTTGGGCCCTTGTTTCTCGCGCGCGTGGTATCGACAGCGCTGCCGCTGATAGGTGCCTGGAAAAGTTCGCTCCCGCCTGTGCTCTGGATGGCCTTCCGATGCCCGGGGCCGGAGACATCCGAAAATGATTCGAACGCGCTCCTCGGGGCGCTCCTGGCCTTGGCGCACTCTTCGTATCAAGCGTGGCGTTTCGACCCTCGCGGTTGCGAGACCTTGGGGCCCCGTCTGCGATGGTGCCTCCAGGGGCGCCCAATGTTCCGTGGCTTCAACGATCTCATGGGCGCGTGGATCCCGAACGAGGTGGAGGAGCGAGCAGACGGACTGATCGTGGGGCCTCCCAGACAAGACCCCTCGATCTTAATAATGGCGATGTGAAGGTGCTCGCGGCGGTCCGTGTTTTTGAACTGCCCGAGAAACTCCCAGAGTTCGTGGGTGAGGCCCAGCGCGGCTTCATCCCTGGGCGCAATTTCGGAATGAATATCCAGGAGATCGACGCGGCCTCTCGGGCGCGAGAATTCTCAGGTCAGAAAGCCCCTCCTGGTCGGGCAAGCGTTCCCTTCGGCTTCGCAGGAGTGGATTTTCCGAACCCTGGGGTGTCTCTCCCTCCCCCCTTCTATGCTCTTCTTTTTTCGTCTCGTCTATGACTGCGTCTCCTGCGTCTGTCGCCTCTCTGTGGGCCGGAAATTTCTATCCACGATTACTTGTGGTTTCATCCGGGGATGCCCGGCCTCGGGAGCTCACCGCGCCGTCTCCTCGCGTCCGTTCCCCGTCGCTTTGGGGCCGTGATCGAGGCGCGCGACAGAGGCGCAGTCAGAGCGTGCGCGGGCGACCTGGGCGCTTGCGTCTACTAGGTTTCGGTCCTGCGCTTGCTCGCCGTCGTCTTTCGCGCCGCCGCCCGCGTCGCCGGTCCGCTTCCGATGCCCAGAAATGCTGTGTAGTCCCACTCTGCGGTCAGTGCTCGCCCATTGCCGTGAAAGAAGTTCATTGCTGGCTCCGCCGAGAGACCCCCGAATGGGCCGAGATGACAGTCGGCCGGCGCCTCAAGTATCCAGGCGTAATTTTGGGTCCGCTGTCGCGAGACCGCTTGTGGCATGCGCCGCTGCACGAGCACTACTCGCGTAGTCGATGTGCTGTGGCCGTCTACGTCTCTGCGCACGCCTGCAATGAGAGGGTGGTGAGAGTGCCGCCATGCATCTCACAGCGCTTCCTTGTGCCCGATCTCTTTCCGCGAGTGGAGCACGCGTGCGTGGCCATGGTCCTCTCCATCCCTCGTTGCCGTCTCACTCGCGCTGATTGCTTCAATCTCGAGAGCTGGGGCGGCCCACGTTTAACGAGTGCGATGGTCGCGAACTTGGCGACCGTCATGCGCTGCGCTCTCAGGACATTCAAAGAACGGCCCAAACTTTACGACAAGCTGAGAGACCTTGCGTTCGTGAGCCTTGAGCTGGTCAAAGTAGTTGCGGGTCAGCTCTTCCCAGACTTTTGGGACGCCCCCCTTCCTGTCAAGCTGCTGAGGGAGGCGGGTCTCGGTTTCCCATCCTACCCAGCGTGGTCAGAGGCTGGTCGGTGTGCTCTGGAGGTAGGCCTGCTGCTCTTGCAAGACCCTCGAGCGACGCTCCAGCGAGCCCTCGCGTTCGAGCTTAAGCGTCACCTCTACCCCGCCCCACTCCAGTCCACGTTCGCGGCCCGTCTTCGCAAGTGGTTCCCCGGCGCGAATCCTGCTCTCTCTCGGGTCTGCTGGCCAGAGGTCCAGGCCGAAGTCCAGAAGATGCCCAGTCCGTGGGCCACGGCTTTCATTAAGACCCTCGCGGGAGCATGGGTCACAGCGTCCAGCTTCCAAGAGAGCGAATGTCGTTGCCTCCTAGGCTGCCCAGCTCCAGCTGTCCCCGCTTCCTTGTTCTCGTCTCCGATGTGGTGTCGTGTGTCCTCCCCTCGTGTGTGATCTCTCGCCTCGGCCTCCTCGACCCATCCAGTGCCTGTTCACGCTGTTCCAGTGCCTGAAGTTCCAGTCGCGTCGCTCACGCTATATAATCACATTCGCGCCCTCCCGCGTTCCAGGGGACCGCTGTTTCAGGCAACGGCCGAGGCGCTCCTGCCGCAAGTGCGCGCGGCGCATCGCCGCCTAACTTCCAGGACGTGATGAGCTGCCGCGCCCCCCTGCTACGGGCCAGGAGGAGGAGGAAGAGGGGGGGGGGAGGAGGAGGAGGAGGAGGAGG